GAATTCATATTTTCTTCATGAATCTGTGGTTGCATATGCTCACATCTACGCTCCATCATCACCATGCACAGTGATTTGGAGATTATTACAAAGGTTCATTCCTTAAAATCAAGCTTGACTCCCTGATAACGTTTGCTGGTGAAACCTTTGTTTCCTGTAGCATTTACTCCATAGTGTCAATGATAGTCCGGTTTATGAATACATAATTGCACATTGGCTTCTCCTCCTCCATAGATGGTTCTTTATGTCCTCTCTTCCCATTGACTCCCTCGCAATCCTAGTGCCTTCAGATGCTTCCCTTGGATTGACGTAGACAATGTCATGTATGTTGTTAATGCTGCTCACATGTTACCACAATTTTCCACCACTGATTCATTTGACATTTTCTACCAAGATTCATTGTCATAGTGAAGAAGTAGAATGTTCTGTAAGAGTTGTCATAGTAAGAGATGCAGTTGGGAGGATCAGAGTTTCAACCCAGAGTTGCCTAAATTGGTGAGATGTCATCTTAAAAAAAACAACTATGTATATTGATGCATGCATGCAATCCCATCTATCTGGGAGGTGGAGATAAGAGCAGTGCAATTCAAGTTGTCCCCAGGCAGACACTAGATCCTTTCTGTAACACAAATTACAGTACAAAGGCTGAGCACATGGGCCAAGATATTTAACACTTGATTTGAAAGTGCAAGGCCCTGTGTTCAAACATAAGTACCACCAAAAGAAAAGTATTGATAACAGCAGCTAGCTTTTACAGACCATCAATGCTGCCAAACATCCTACAAAGAAAGACTAATGCCAACAACGTGTGCCTTCACCCCAAAGGTCAACTGGGATGAGGCTTAGAAACACTGACACATATATTTTCAGAATGAATTTGATGTCCATCAACAATGTGGCTATTTTAAAACTTACACACACACACATGCACACACACATGCACACACACACTTGCGCACATGCACACACACATGCACACACAAGCACACATGCACGCACACACACAGGCACACATGCACACACACGCACACACACACACATGCACACAGAAGGTAGGTTTCCAGAGAGAGAGATGCACATTTTTCATGCAGATGTTACCTGGTGTGTGACTGGGGGAACATGACCATGACATAGAAGAGAATGAGGCACCATTGGCAAAGACCCAGGACAGTGACAGCATGGAGGACTGTGTGGCCTCTTCAAGCTGGAAGTCAGATCTCTCTGTGTCTCAGGAGTGAGACAAGTGGGTACACTCTCCCCTCTTTTCTTCAACATAGAGTTGAATTCGTAGAGCAATAAGCAAGAAAGAGAAGCAAAGAGAAACAGGTGAGGAGGAAATCTAATTATCTTTGTCACAAATATGATAAGACAGGGTAGGATTTTTCCTTCAAAGACTCCAACATAGCCAAAAACTCTTAGATGTGATCAGCAATGTAGCAACATACAAATTCAACATGCAAGATTCAGTAGCTTTTCCATATACAAATAAGAAACATGCTAAGAAAGAAATCAAGAAAACAATCCAAACACAGTAAGCTCAAAAAGGAAACAAAATATCTAAGAATAAACACAATTCAAAAGGTGAAAGCCCTCTGCATAAGAACTATAAAACACCACAAAAGGAACTGAAGGCACTGGAGGACAGGAAGACCCGGCATGTACTCGGATCGCCAGAACTGATGTCCTGACAGTGGCTATATCGCTAAAGTGGTCTGAAGATTCCAAAATTCCAATGGCATTCTTCACAGAAATGAAAAAAATAATACTAAACTTTCTAAGGAAGCACAAAAGACCTGGAGAAGACAAATAAATCCTGAAATAAAAGATGAATGTTAGATATATCACAATACCTACAAAATTTTCTACAGAACAACAGTAACAAAACAGCATGTCACTGGCAGTAAAACAGATACCTGTAGCAATGGAAGAGAAGACCAAGAAACAAACCCACACAGCTACCTCCATCTGTTTCTTGAAAAATGGCAAAACATTTTCAAAAAAGAAACTCTTTACCAAACAATGCTGGGGAAAATCGATATGTAGAAGACAGTAAATAGACTCAAATCTATCACCAGGTACAAAAATGAACACAAAATGGAACAGAGACAATAACAAAGGACATGAAATGTTAAAACACTTACAGCTCTTCAAGATACTGGCATAGGAATGAGTTTCTGAGTTCCTGCCTTCTTGATGGGTAGCAATGGGGTGTTCCATGGCTATTGTCATTCGATCAATATCACTGCATCCTTCGGCCTCTGTAGGTAAGTCTGAATTCCTAGGTGTGCTTCCCGTTGTACTGGATATTGGCTCTTTCTGACAGGGAAAGCCCTAGGTTTGAGATCTACCATTACAGGTGCATTGTTGTGAACCAGGCTGGGAGGCCCGTTTTTAGCCCAGACAACAGGAAACTCCTCCAGCAGGCAGATGGGTTTCACCAGGTCCCCCTTTCCCTGGTGATAGAGTTGCCACTCATCTTCCATAGCATGGTCACTGCCATGATGAGGGCGTTTGGTTCCCTTATGGTAAGATTTGCAGGCCCTCCATGAGTGAAGGTGATTTGGGCTCCAAGCTTTGTTAACAAGTCCCTTCCCAGCAGAGGAATTGGGCATTCTGGTAAATACAGGAATTCATGAGTCACCATGTGCCCTCCTAGTTGGCATGTCCAGGTCAGCAGAACTGCCGGACAGTCCGGGTGCCAGTAGCTCTGACTACTGTGTTCCTGTGCTCAGTGAGTGGGGCCACAGGCTTAGTGACCATTGGAATACACAGCACTTGAGTCCATCATGAAGATTATTGGTTGGCTCCCTACTCTCATTTCGACTGTGGGCTTTTGGGGGGCATTGTAGTAAGGAGCCTAGTCTTTCGTAGTCTGACTCAATTACTGCTAGGCCAATGAGGTCCTGGGCCTCCAGTTTGGGTTGCCTTCCTATGTTCTTTCCTGGAGTAATTTTGTTGGGTCCCTTGCAGGGGCATTTATTCTTCAAGTGGCCAATCTTCTTGCAATAAGCACATTGATCTCATTAGAGTGGGGTTCTTCCACTGGGTCTCCCCTTCCATGACAGAGCTGACTGCTTGGTTGGGTCTGGCTTCCCCAGTGATGCAGCCAATAAGGACACCTTGGCTTTCATTATTTTATCAGCTTCTCGTTTTCCCTCATGTTCCCAGTTTACAAAAACTTTATTTGGTGCATCTAACAGCTGAAACCTTCAAGTTTCTGAAGTTTCTGGTGAATGTTGGAATATGACTGAGCCACAAACACCATATTAACAATTTGCTCATGTTCTGGCACTTCTGAACTGAAGGAAGGCCTCACAGAGTTTCTCATAAAAAACAGTTAGTGTTTTCTCTGGCTTCTGGAAAACTGCCACAATTTTGGACATGTTGGTAGGTCTCTTAGCTCCAGGCCTGAGCCAGTGTAGGAGGGCAGTGCAATATTGAGTGAGGACTCTTCATCCTTCTGCTGTATTGAAGTCCCAGGTAGGCCGAGCATCAGGGGTCACCTCTCTTGCCCAAGCTTCTGCATCTTGGGTCCCTGCTGGGGCCTGCCCTTGGAGCCAGCAGTAAGCTTCTGTCAGAATTCGCTGTCACTCTCTTGTGTTGAAAAATGACAGGAGGATCTGATGGCAGGCATCCCAAGTGGGTTGGGGGGTCTGAAGTATGGATTCTAAGAGGTCAACCAGGCCCTGAGATTTTTCTGAATACAGTGGTGTATGGGTCCTCCAATTTAAGAGGCCAGTTGTACTGAAAGGCTGTTAATAGAGGATAGAGCATCCAGGCCAGACTGTGTCATCAGCACCAATCTGCTGGGGCCCTTGCATCTCACAGAGTAGCACTTGCAGGGACCTGGCCCGAGTGGCCAGTGCCTGGGATGAGGGAAGGTGAGGGCGCAGGGGCTGTGGACTTGGACTCCAAGCCAGGGCTGGGTGTGGGACATCACTGGGGCTGGGAGGCTGCTGATGGGGCCAAGGGGGACACACTGAAGGTGGCAGGCTGTCTGAAAGAGGTGGCACTGGCTGCTCTGATGGTGACAGAGTTCTGGGAATGTACGGCAGGAGCACAGGCAGTTCATCTTCTGGATCCCTTTGCAGAACAGGTTTGTTCAGCTTTTGATCTTTGGGCTTCATTACCTGGGCCACGAAAACTCTGCTCTGTCCCTTTTTGTTGGCACAGAATCGGTCCTAAGGGGGCATGGCCTGAGCCACCTGAAGCCAGGAATCAATATAGGGGAACTGGTTGGGATGCCCAGGGCTTCCTATTATGATCTAATAAATGGCCCTGACAGTGGGCAAATCTAGGGTATCTTCAGGGGGCCAGTTGACTCCAAAAGTGGGCCATTCTAGCTCACACACCATGTGCAGCTTTCCAGGAGACATTTTGATCCCATAATCTCCTGAGAATCCCTTCTTAAAATGTTTAAGCATATACTCTGATGCCCTTTGTCTTGGCCCTGAGCTCACTTTTATAGATTAATTAGCAATTTCTCAAGTCTTACGACCTTGCCTGAGACAATCTTCTTGTTCACTTTGAGAAAAGAGGCACTGTAGGGAGGCCACTGTAGCAGTGTTCACAGAACTGTGGCAATAAGGACACCTTGCAAGTCCACAGAGGAGCAATGAATAATGTACCTGTGTGGTGTCTCTGCCTTGAATACTGTAGACCTAAAGAGCCCCTAGCATGCCAAGCTATCCTGGGAGAGCTGCAGAAGCCCAAAGCACATGCAAAAGGGTTCTTATCTCTAATTGTCTCTTTGGATGGAAAAGGAAACATGATGGGGTTTTCAAACTCATTAGCAAGACAAAGGTACATTAAGAGAAAACATTTCACAAATGTCCTCTAGGACTCTCACAACTGCACTGGGCCCTGCCCTCTCTGAGACTTTCACACAGAGCCTTTAATATAGCAGGAAGACATACAAATAAGGCCTCCTTCTGCTCATGAAAACCAGCCCAGCCCTGACCTGCAGCTCTGGAGAGGAGCAAGCCCTGGATTCAGTTATCAGCACTGAACACAGATCACTCACCATGGAGTGGGGACTGAGCTGGGTTTTCCTTGTTGCTATTTTAAAAGGTGATTTGTGGAGAACAGGAGATACTGAGTGTGTGAGTGGACATGAGTGAGAGGAACAGTACTTGTGACAGTTTCCTGACCAGGATTCTCTGTGTTTGCAGGTGTCCAGTGTGCGGTGCAGCTGGTGGAGTCTGGGGGAGGCTTGGTGAAGCCTGATGGGTCCCTGAAACTCTCCTGTGCAGCCTCTGGATTCATCTTCAGTGATAACTGGGTGCACTGGGTCCGCCAGGCTGCTGGGAAGGGACTGGAGTGGCTCTCATACATTAGGTATGATGGTGGTAGCACAAGTCATGCAGACTCCGTGAAGGGCAGGTTCACCATCTCCAGAGACAATAACAAGAACACACTGTATCTGCAAATGAACAGCCTGAGAGCCGAGGACACTGCCACGTATTACTGTGCAAGACACTCAGTGTGTGAACTTCAGTTTGAGCCAGACACAAACCTCCCTGCAGGGACGCGCACAACCAGCAGGGGGCGTACACTACACACTGAGCTCAGGGTCAGCCATGTGCAGGTGCAGAGGGAGTTAAGTGATGGTTTCCTGTCAGGGTCAGAGGCTTCCTCTCCACAGGACTGTTTCCCAAAGGAGATTCTGGTTTCCTGTTTTGGTGCTTTCCACCGATATTGCTAAACTAGAAAATGTTGCCTTTACATGTTATCTCTAGAGATTCATGGAAGTTATAAAAGTCAGACTCAGAAAGATAAGAATTGCTTATTTATTCTCATAACTGGAATCTAGGGGGAAAAAAGTAAATAAAAGATGACATGAGAGTGGAGGGGAGTCTCCCAAAAACAGGGGAATGAGATCAGGGAGAAGTGATGGAGAAATGGAAAGGGTATAATTGGAGACTATATGAACAACATATATTATATATACATATGAAAATACTACTATGAAACTGTAATTGTACTTTTTATGCACTTAAAAATACATTCATTTTACAGAAAGACACGTTTTCACCTGCACAAATGCTAAGGTGTCATTCATGGGAACAGAAATTATTCTGCTGTGGTCACTATAACCAGATCCTGAGGATGCTCAGGGCATCCTAGTGAGTGTTTTCCCATGAGAAAAGAGAACTCCATGGAATTCCATGATTAGGAAAGTCTGTGGAATTCATACTGGGTCCAGGACAGAGAAAATCCAGGTCCAGGGAAATAAAAGGATTGCATTTAAATCTCTCTATTCCCCATGCATAAATGGACCCAGAACACTGAAGACTGATCAGAATGTCTGTTTCAACAAATCCACTTAATTTTCCTTGAGTTTCTTTCTGACTTCTCCCTGTTCTCCATTTTCCTCCTTAAAGTGGAGAATGTAGTCTCTATTCTCAAAACCAGTGTGGAAGTCTTTGACCTGGGACTTAGGTGTGGTTCTTGCAGACTGCAGAGAAAGCTGAAGAAGCCCTCCAATCTCCATGACTCAGGGAACTCCCACTGTCTGTCATACTTCAACACATGAGGAAAAGAAAAGTAAACTTAAGCCAAGAAAGGTAAGATGCTTTGTTCAAAATGAGATGTGGAAGAAGCACTCGTATTATTCTGATCTGTCACAGAGCCTCCTTCCTCACCTGTTTCCCTGGTAAGAGGAGTTGATGGACACCCAAGTCTTCTGTGACCTCTCAATTGAGGTAGTGCAATATGAATTCAGTTAATCCAAGGCACATATAGCTAACAATCAGAGACAGCAACTGCATGGACACCCAATCTTCTGTGACTACTGATATGAGGCAGAGGACAGGGGTAACTCATTTGGCCCAAGGCAATTATGGCTGACCATTAGAGAGAGCAGCCTGGAAGTGCTGTGTAGGAGCTGAAACTGCAACGTTCATGGAATTTCATCTTCTTCAAACCTTCTCTGAATAAATCAGACACAGCCAGCATGTCTAAGGCAATCTTGCTGCTGATATAGAGTGAACTGATGACCATGGCTCTAATACTATCTACTAAATATCATCATTGCAATACCATGATTAATATGGGGTGGAATAATTAGAACATGTAATCTGACATGTTAACACCTAGAAAAATTATACATTGCTATAAAATCAAGCTCATGTCACAAATTCCTTTCTTAGAATGTTTGGTATACATAGCCAAGTAAGAGGAAAACATGAGAGTGGAGTAAATTTGCACAATATGTATTTTTAGGAAAATTCCTTTGAGAGAGAAAGTGCAGACAGGACAAGAGAGACTGAAAAATCATTTCAGAAGTGTAGAGACATTAATTGACTAGCTTCCAAAAATAATATGGGGACATGTGGTCTATAAATACTGACACAAACATCACTTGAGTTCAAGAGAATGGACATTGTACAGAGGTACCTGAGGTCTTTACCATATATTATAAGAGGACTTACCATATCTAAATTATTAGTCAGACTCCAAGATAAATTCTCCTCTAGCTGTGGGAGCTCACAGCTCTTTCCTCACACAAGGCTGAGACTTCTAGGAAGGCAGGACTGTGGTCTAGAAGATGAGACTGTTGTGTCTTCTTCTGTGTCTGGTGAGAGCCTCCCATGGTGGGTGTCCCCAAGTTCACACATGGGTCTGTAGGAAGGGGGTGGCTGACAGGGATGATTCTCCTGTCCCCAAGTGTCCTGTCCCAAGTGCAGCTGCAGCAGTCAGGACCTGACCTGGTGAAGCCCTCTCAGACCTTGATCATCACCTGTGCTGTCTGGATTCTCCAACACAATCAGTGTTCCCTTGTGGAATTGTATCCATCAGCCCACAGGGAAAGGTCCAGAGTGAATGGAATGAATTTATAATGATGGGGACACTCACCTCAACCTCTCCCTTAAGAGCTGAGTTACCATGACAGTGGAAATAGCCAAGAACAAGATCTCCTTGCAGCTGAGCTCTGTGACAGCCAAAAACCCAGCAGTGTATTACTGTCTGGGAGATATAGCAAGGGGATTTGGTTTGAACCCAGACACAAACCTCCTGCAGGGGACAGGCATGGCCTGCAGAAGGTGCTCAAGACTCACCCAGCCCTGGGTCCCAGCACAGAAGCAGGTGCAGGAGGGAATGGCCAGGGATTTCTATTGGGTTCAGTTGTTTTCCTTCTTCTCCAAAGTCTCACATGCCTCAAGGGACATCACTCTGTGTCTCTCTCTAGGTCTCTCTCTCTCTCTCTCTCTCTCTCTCTCTCACACTTTCTCCCTCTCTCTGTTCTCTCACATCCTCACTGTTGCAGAAAAGGAGGAAATGATGTTCTCTGATTATAGGTGAGATGGGACCAGTCAACAGCACAGGATGACTCTCTGGAGTGCTGAGGAGATGAGAAGGAGGACAGAAATGAATACCGTAAAGTCCATGCTCAGAAGGTTCAGATGGAGTGAAGGACCATTGGAAGTTGGGCTTGAGGCTACCAATGTTACCCATGAGTCAAAGAATTTATATGCAGCCTGCCAGTGACCTGAGACACTGTGGTGTTGAATTTGAAGTGACAAACTCATTTTCTAGAGAGTTGCACTTGTGAGAACCATAATTACCATTAAAAAGAAGACAAATGCTTTGTAGTAGGAGACTATGAAAGCTGTCTTTAGGGGATCCCAGCAATCTAGCAAGACCCCATCCATTTCAGGATCACAAGTGTAAAAGAATAAACTAATTTCAAGGACTTTCCTTTAAGAAGGAAAGGTACTTAGGGGATGCTCATGGGTATTTGCAGGGTCAGATGATTCATTTCACCTATAAGGCACAATGGGTAGCAACCCTTTAGGTGGGCACTATAAAAACTGCAGACCACTCTGACTGCTATCAGTGTCTTAGCCTGGCGTGAAAGCCTACCAGGGCCCACCATCTCCTGCTTCTGGATACTACAATGGCATGGTGGTGATCTGGAACCTTCCCACTAACTTACCCTGCAGGAGACATGGCTCTCTGATGGCTCCATAAAGTTCTTCCTGATCCATATCAGGCAATGCAGGGGAGTCAGTGTTGTGATGCTAAATGTCATTTCTTCCTAACCTCTGGTGAAGCAACAGGAAAATCAAATTCTTGGAAGTTCATCAAACTTATCAACCATTAAACCGTATAAAGTTCTTCTTGACTACAGAGCTGGCCTGTCTGATCCTCTACAGTGGTGCCACAGTGGCTCAGGACAGTTGCTGTGGCTCTTATAGACTCTGGAGTTCATTGAATTGATGCAGGTTGCATCACTGCTCCTGGAAAAGTCACTGTCTGGAGTCTCTCAGGATCCACCTGTCCTGGCACAGAAGCTGCAGAAAATATACCGGGGAAGCTCATTGCACTGTATTTCCTTATGTGACAAAAACCCAATAAGTGTCAGGAGACCTGCAGAGAGAAGATTCCATATTTATGAAGCACATGTGGTGTCATATCAGGAAAGTCCTGAAGGTCAAGACTAGTCATCTGTTTCCTCTGTCATCTCAACTCCCTCTAAGCTAAAACATGCACTAGAACCTTTAACAATCACTCTCAAGATTGTATCTCCAAGAAACAGACTTGTGTTCCTTCCATAATCTCGCTTTAGAGAACCAAGGCTGCATGCAGGAAAGAAAGGGATGTTGTCAACTCTGCCTGGACAAGCTGCAGCCTTTGTCTATTCCTAAGGTTAATTTCATCCCATCCATGGACATCTAGGGATGTTTGATATCTGGGGGACAGTCAGGACTGGTTAGGATCCACTTTGACCATGGCCTCTCCACATCATTGGGCCAAGCATACTTCAGCACTATGGTCCAACATTCTTTCTACACAAAAGGCTGTGCTTCCCTCCAACCACCCATTTTCCTCTGCCCAATCACTACTCTTGGTCCACAGAGAACTCTTGCAATGACGTTTGCCAAGCACAGATGGCCTCCATGCACAAACCTAGAGGACCTGGACAGTGATGCTGCCAGGACAGGATCTTTAGTCTTAACTCTCCAGGATTACATAAATTCCTCCCTTTCCACAGACTTGTATGGTTATAACCTCCTGTGGGTACAGGGGCTCACCTTGCACAGTGATTCCTTTCCCAAAACCATGACTCACAAGAAACATTCAGGCCTGAAGTAGGCTTGGAAGTCACATTGCTCTTATTGAGCATGTTGTGAAGTGGACATAGCTAAGTAAATGTAAGAAAAACTTGATAAGAGAATAATTACCCTGAATTATGTTGTTAGAACTCTGAAATATGTAACAATACAAAATGAACTATTAGAAAAGAGAAATGCTTTGAGTCATAATCTTACAATTTAGGGAAAAACTTATGAATCTGTAGCACACATTTGTGTACTACATATTTATGTGTTCACACATACATCTGTGATTCACACACACACACACACACACACACACACACACACACACACACACAGTCATTCCCAGATTTCTATTGGCTTCTCAAATCTCTGGGAGTAAGGGCATAATTTCCTCATTTCCAAAGCTGTCCTTTATCTGTGAATATATCCATGACTCTGAAAAGCTCTTCCACTCAGTTCCTGTACTGGAATAAAATAACCCTAAGCTTTTTGACATGGAAGCTGAGCTTTCTGAGGGTACAACCAGCATCCTGCACACAGATGCAACACTGGCAAAGGAACCTCACCTCTCCTCTTAGGCCTTTACCCACAGAATGCATTCCACATAAAGATGCACAGTTAGACAACCAGATTTACCCAG